TTGCTGTGCGGAGCCTTTCTTTACGATGTGCTCCACTTTGAACGCAAACACAAACCAAGTCTGTGGCCATGGAAACCAAAGGAAGAATAGTGAATTTGGTGGCATTCAACAATAAAGTTGTCAACGAATTTTCCAGAAATGTTTCCAAAAACTAATAAGTTTGGCTTACCAATGTGTTGGACAATCAAATAATTCGTATGCCCTTAGAAATCTGTTTCATCTTTCGAAATTTGATAATTTGTTATTGTAAAACATTATTTCTTTGTTTTTCTTTCATTCACTGTTGATTCAGCAATCATCGACTTTTTGGCAATTTTTATCATTCTCCCTTTCCTTCGGTCAAATTTTGACATAATTTTAATCATCACAAAGAGCAAATATGAACAACGGACAAACAACTTTGTACAATATGATGCTATGTAACTGGCGCCAGCATTTCACTTTCTGTTCAAATACTAATTACATAGCTATAATCATAAAACTCATTAGCCACGTAAACTTCAATATAAACTCAATATGTACAAAAAAACACACATGCACACATCCCCAACTCAATTAATTTAAGTTATAGTTGTAAAGTAATTTTTATCTCCCGTGTGCTCATCATTAATATTGAAGCTTTCAATAGAATGAAAATACCCTGTGTGTGTGTGTGTGTGTGACCAAAACACGAAAGCACACAACGAAAATGAGGAACAGAGCGCGGGGGTAACGAAATCAGTGTGAGCGCTTTGCACTGAAATCGCTGTATATGCGGTACGCGCACAACCAAATTGTAAACTGGCTGATACATGTTTGTTGTCATCATTGTTAGTTGTTGAAAATGTTCGTGTATCATGCACGATACAGCATCATTGTACTTTTCAGTTTTCTCGTAATTCATTTTGTGCGTATGTACGTTTTTTCCATGATTTTTTTTTCTGTTATTGTTATTTTTTTTTCCACCGTCACTAATTTGAGTCGATGCGACATCAAGCAACGTTTTGAGAATTTTCGCCCGAAAGCTAATTGAATTACTAGACCCTCATAATCTTACTCCAATTTTACTTTGTAAATGATTTTTTTGTGTTGGTTTTATTTCATTTTATCATTGTGGGTGGCTTTTTATGTGACTGCATTTTTTGCTTGAATTTTCAACGGGAGGTCGTTTTCAATACGTTTGGTAAATGTTAGGCTTTGTTTCAAACTCTCAGTGAGAGTTGAACAAAAAAAAATCAGTCGACAGGATCTCGGAAACGCTTTTTTTGGAATGCATTTTTTTGCGCATTTAACATAAATCGCTTGTATTTCGAAAAGAACAACATATTTTGATTTCGAATGCCATTAAATTTTGTTTAAAACCACAAAAAACAAGAAATGTCAATCAAATATATGAACAAATATGCCAGAAACACATTTCTCCAAAAAAATGCAAAGCAACAAATGACCATAATTATCATTCTCCTCATCAGTCTTACGACATCTTTGACGAAGCATTTTTATGTTCGGTAATTATGTAATATGTATGCACGACCTGTATATGTATAGAGTGAAAAAAATATATATAATTGTCCTCGAGGACATGCCGATGGTCGTGTAATTGTTGGCAAAACAATGTGATTCGTGTATGAATAAAATGACAATAAATTGCAGATGAATGTTATTGAAAATTCATATATTTTCAACTTCTTTCATTTTATTCACTTCTTTTTACTCAATTATGCAAGAGACAGATAGAGATGGGGAATGAGAGCAAGAAATAAAAGAGAGAATCACTGTTGCTTTAAAAAAAAAAAATACGATGCTATTACAAAAATAACAGTATAGTATTGCATTCCGATTGTGTTGAATGCATAATATATATAATATTACAATAATAGTATGTAATACATATTTCAAGCCGTCAGTTTAACATTAAAATGATTTTTTTTTGTTGAGGCAATACGATGAGAAAATCAATATTGAATAAAAAAATATTGATGAAACATTCATCGAAAAGAGACAAAGAATTTGCGAGAAAGGGGGCTTTTTGCTGGTTTTTTTTTTGTTATTATTCAAAAGCACAAAATGCAAAAGCTATACATTTTTTTTAAATATTCAAAATGCTATTTCCTTTGGAACTTAAAAGAAAACAAAAATTCACTGGCAGAATTTTGTTTCGGATGAAAAGAGGGCAATAACAAGTTAGATAAATTGCAGTGGTGAATTTTTGTCGAAGACGAAGTTGAAGAATAAGCAGTGGAAGCAAACTGGATAAAAACTCGTAAAATCACATGAAAAATGTAACAACATCATAATGAAATGCGATGCACTCAATTTTATATCCATATCAAACTTCCAACAATGCATACATACATATGGAGCATAGCCCATTCCAAAGAGGTCGTCGAATTTTCTCCGGAGACCATAAGAACTCGTGTGCGGCGAATTTATTGTTTATAACTTCCGATGCGGGTTAGATTTGATTGGAAAAAAGGTAAATAGATGAGAAGAGTAAGCTGGTGGCCTGTATAGAAGGAAGGGAGGGGATAAAGAAGAAAGGAACATAACAATAGCGATCAAGAGAGTAAAGAAAAGAGTAAAAAGGGGAGATTGAGTGAAAGATATCGAACGGCTCAATAGACTGAAATCAATAGATTGGAAAAAAGGAAATTGAAAATAAATTGTTTTGATGAATTTTTGTTTAATTGGGGTGGCCAATTGTTCATTTGAGAATTAAAATTTGTGAAAATTTCACTTTGGAGACTTTCAGCAGCACGAATGTTGATTCCTTTTCGTTTGGACATTTTGTTCATTGTCTGTGCACAAATGCAACACACAAAATTAAATAGATACGGTCTGAAATAAAGGTAATTCAAAACTCATCATATTTTATAACTTATTGGCAATAATGCATATCAAGATAAATGTCACACCTGAGCCAGTGCATGGCGGATTTGCTGCAGCATTTCACTTTACGATGATAAATATTCCGTTTTTATCCACTGATAATAATGCATACAACCCGGACCATGTGTTTTCATTTCGAAAAAGCGTAAGGAATTTCACACAAAATTGATTATATGGCATTGGAAATTCCAGCTACTTCGAATGTCATACCGGATTTGACATTTTGTTCGGTGCAAGAAAAGGAACAATTGCTTTTTATGACTACAAAACGTTTGTTTATTCTCTTAGTTGTTTGTTTATTTTATATGAAATTGAGCCCACTGGGAAATATTGAACTTTACACGCTTTCGTTCGCTTGCTTTCTCTCTCTCTGCCTGTAGCTTCTCTTTCTCCTTCTACTCCCCTCATTTTCACCTTTTCGATTCGTGTTTCTTTCATGCTTTCTGCAGCATACAGCACATTTCATTCTTCGAAATGCGAACAATATGTTTAAAAAAGGTAAACATAGCTCTTCGTACATCTCGACACTTAACAACGCCATAATATTGTTTGCAATTCTGAAGTGTATTGTTATTGTTTCAAATTGTTTATCATGACGAATTCACTTTAGAAATAATTGTATTTATGTGTAGTGTTTCAATGTTCTTATTTTTTGTTATTTTTCAATTAGTGCGCAATTATTTTCTATCATGATTTTATATATCTGAGCGCTCTCAGATATCACGTGAATAAAATGTGACATTTCTCCTTCAAAATGACAACACAAAGTGACAAAAGAATGCTTTTCAAATGAAGCTGAATTCAAGAGCGAAATAATTTAATACGATACAATACTCAAGTGATATCTTGATGAAATTCAACAACACCATTAAATTATTCGAGTGAATTTCAATTTGATTCAACAAAAGAACCATTCAATCAATAGAACAAAACTTGTTGAAAATCTGATTTTCGCCTTTAAATGTTTGCATGTTTTTATGGCCAATTGAGTCGCTTTGGCTTTTGATATTCCTTTGTAAATGTGAACGTCAATCGTTTTTTTTTAATTTAAATGCTTTCGTATTTACCATTCTAATTGAGTTAAAGAGCATTCTTTTTTCAATTATTCATAAAACATTTATCATTTCTATCAACATTATCAATGTGAATATTCAAATAAGCTGATTATGTTTAATGTACATGTATCTCTTTCAATTAATTGAATGAAATTTAAAAAACATACTTTTTGAACAATTTCAATTGATGTTTTAATGGCCTGTTTTATCAAATTATTTTGCTAAATTTTCATTTTTTTAGTCAAAATAAATATTTTGTCATGAGATAGACTACCCAGTCGCTTTAACATTTTAAATGTCTTCAAAAGTGCCGCACTAGCACTGAATATTTTCTAACATAAATTCTTCAAAAGTACACAATATTTTATTTTGTAAATGGTTATATCTAGACTGATAAAATCCATGCGACTGTGATAAAACTCACTGAACTAACTGAATCGATTTTATTAAAAGTAATTTGATTTTTTTCTTACACAATAGTATTGATTGATATTGAAATTTCCACCTTTTCACAATCTGGAATCACTTATTAAGTTATTTTGTGAAAAAGGCGGAAAATATTTCTATGAATATATTCTGAAACCCATATTTTCGTTTTGATTTGAGAATCGGCCAGATTCGCCGGGCCAGAACTACTCTGAAAAAATAATCTGACATGGTTTATTTTGGTGAACATTTTTTTGTCATATAAGAAGTAAAACATACGTAGTGATTTTTTCCTTTCAATCTCATGGAAGAATGAAAAGTTCAATCAATCAACATCGAAACTATTTGATGGAACGATTCAGCTAACTCACCGACCCGAGCTGCAGTATTCACATTTTAAACACTGAGCAAAATCGTTTGAAAATCGATTTTTAGAGAATTCGACTGAAAAGATCCAAAACCAATCACCAATCGATTCGATTAACTCGATTGCATGAAAATTGCGGAATACGATTTTATAAAAAAAGAATCGAGTAAACATTCTGAATTAAAAATGTTGATTCGTCTAGATTTGTTAGAAAAACATCAAAGGGATATAGTCCATTTAAGGAGATTAATGTTAAAAAACAAAATGATTTGACATTTACTCACCCAAATAACAACTTTATCCTCGCCTCGTCCAGCTTTTTGTCGCCACAATGGCACCGTTCGGCTTTCGTTCGACACAAATACAGCATAACATTTTGATAGTTCAGCTGGACGTGTTTTTTTTACCTGTTCGCATAGTTTCCACACATTTTCCTCACTAATGTCGTTCGATTCGTCACATTAACACGAACAATCAAACATGAAAAACAAAAACAAAACAATTTCTTTGTGTTAGTAAACAATTAGTTCAGATTAACATGAGTTTACAAAGGATTCATAATTAATGGTAACATAAATGATATCTGTAATCCTATATGACGATGAAAAATCAATGAAAAACAAATGGATAGATGAACTCTTCTTAAATCTGTAAAGTTTTCTGGTATTAAGAAAAAGTGTGTTTGTTTTCATTTTAAATGTCCCTTGTCCAAAGTGAACCAGTTCACTGTGATATGTTCCAGTATACCGCATTATGTGTACGATGATATACGATGTGTATAACAAGAACAATAACAACAACAACAACAGAAATGGACACAACGTAATGAGTACGTATATTTAATAGAAAAAAAACACGCAAGCGAATCATTGAATTTCTTGCTCTTGAATTTATTCGATTTGAGTGTGTGATGAGGTGAAATTTCTTTCTCACTCTGTACACGACTCCTTCCCCTCTCTTTTCCATTGTGCTGAAAAGTACGAGAAAGAAATTGGCTCAACGAAATTTGTCCGAGAAAAAAAATACACGAAATGGTAACGTAAAAAAATGGTTGACATGTCAGACTGTACTTTATAATTTAAACGAGAAAAACAACTGAACGACGGCAGCAAAGCGCCAAAGCACAGAATGGTAATAGTAACAAAAGTGGTGAAAAAAATCTGGTGAATATAAACAAAATCAAAATAAAAGTAATAAAAAGGAGCTAAATTTCTTTTCTTTTTTCTCTATTTTTTTCTATTTGCAATAATAACATGGAGCGTGTGTAATCACGCGGCGAAAATATCCAACGTAAAATGTGTAGGTTTTGTTCGCCTCATCATCTAGTTCCCACATGGAATATAAATTAAAATGCATAAGCTTATTCATATATAAGCCGTATTATGTAGGTAGTGTTTGGAGAGCGCGCGGTGTCGATGCAATATAATGACAGCAAACAACACTTGTGTATCAGCAACAATACAAGATTACGGCTATTTTGTGGTAGCCATTCTCAGTTTTTTTTTTTTGCGTACCACATACACAAAGTCACACAAAAGTGATTGAGAAAACAACAACAAAATCTCATTTTCACTGGCTTCGCCGGCTTCTTTTTTCAAACGGGATTAACCAGAATTTGTTATATTTTATTAAAGAATTTGCTGCAATTATATGCAATGTGAACATGCAAACTATGTAACTTTTTCTATATTTTATTTTGTTGTTGTTATAATTTTCATTGCAATTTTTTTGTGGGCATTGCTTTCGGTTCGTCGGAGTTTAATTATATTTTTCTTGGTAGGTCTTTGAATCAAAGCACAAGCCATTTTCAAAATTAATTATAATACACTGCCAACCAGGATTATGCAATTTGATTTTGTACGGTGTGTACATTGGGGTATGACCTCTGGTGATTATTACTTACTTGGACAAAGTTTAAAGAGTCGTTGTTTAAGCTTTAAGCCTCAACTTATTACAAAAACTTTTATTGGATGAAGATGAGAGACAAAGAGTGCGAACAAAAGAGAGAGAGAGAGAGAGAGAGAGAGAAGAAGAGAAAGGGGAACAGAGTAAAAAAGAGAGGGAAATGGGGAAATCAAGTGCGAAAAATCGAAAATGAAAAAAAAAACCTATTTATTTACAGATGCTCGCTGACACCAACAGTATCCAAAAAAATCTTTCAACAAGTAGGTTAAGAGAAAAATAAATGTCTTCCGTGCATTCGATTGAATTTATGATTAAAACAACTTGTTGTGTCATTTGCATTACTTTCGTGCACAGAACACTAGTCTTGTGAAAATCTCAATGTATTAATCAGTAGATGTTGTTTGTTTTCTTTCCAAAACAAAAGGTAATGAAAACTAATTTGGTTACATTGTATGACATACAAAAATTGAATCGCCAGACTTAGCAAAATTTAATATTGTGGCAAAAATAAGCGATCTTTTTTAATTAATTCCGAATCCAATTGGTAGTGAAGAGAAACTTCTTGGTACTGAGCTTTTACCGTGAATCTAGCTATACTGATCAAGTATACCATTACTTAAATTCCTTGTAGATCAGTATAAGTGTGCTGTCATTTTGAAACGCGATAACATTCATGTGACAAGTCAACTTTTTGATAGTCTAATCTTCATCAAATGTTGATTTAAAAAATAAAAAAAATAAAAAAAATCGGTCCGAAATGTTAAGTGAAAATTCGTTTCTGCATTTGGCCGACATTCGGAACACAAAAAAGGGGAGACAAACGATAAGGTGAAGAAAAGAGCGGAAAAGTGCGGCACGAGGATAAAAACTAGTAACTAACTCACAAATATTGTTTTTACAAATCGTGCAGTTATAGCATTACCAAGTGTAGTTCATTAGTGTATTCGGTTGAAATGCGAGCTTAATTTATTTCATCGTCATCATCAATATCCCGTCACTCTCACAACTCGCAAGTCATACGCTCTTCTCAAAACGAACCACTTACACCACTGGATGCACGAATTTCCAATTGCAATTTGTTTTCCTCTCATTCGTTCGCTCGCATTTTTTTGATATTATTTGTATTTTGTTGTTTTCATTATTATTTATATTTAAATTTGTTCGTGCTGTGTCAACATAACTCAACATTACGAGCATAATTATGAACGGGGAAAAACGGAAACACGAGATGGAATCAACAACAAAAACCATATACAAAACAGCAAATGCCACTACCGAAAATGAAATGACGTCGCGACGGATTTTTTTCTCCACATTTCGCATAGTCTTGTTAGAAAAGTTTTTAATAAAATTTACTTTTTGCACGATTTTTCACCGATATAATATGTAAGTAGCACGAATTAAGGAATTTATTCTTTTTAAGACGTCAAAAAAGAAAAAAATATGAAAGAGTGAACACGGAAAAAGAATGAAAGATAGAGAGAAAGAGCAAGTAAAATGCGAATTAGCGAGAAGGAAGCGATAGAGAGAGAAAAGTATAACATAAATAATAGAGATTTCATTGCAGTGATTAACGCGGCTGAATTTAGGACGGCTACTCGATCAAATTAAATGTCTTACACTTAATAGCATGCTTAATAGAATCGGGAAAGGTAGCAGAAAGAAAGGGGGAACGTGAGTAAAAGTGTAAAAGAAAGGAGGATTGGTCAGATCCAAGGGGATTTTGGTTGATCTTTGCCATTGTTTGATACATCCTATGTTCATTTTGTTTTTTAGCCACAACTAAAATAATGTTTTTGCAAAAACATGTGAAAAGTCATAAAGTTCAATGTTTAAAATAAACATTAATTCCATGTGACCACAACTGTGTCCAGTAAAAATTCTAATTAGCCCATTCTTCTCATGGTATGTTACTGTGTTGATTTGTGCATGGTTAAGCCGATTAAACTTTTCATGCAATAAAAAGTTGGATATTCAAACGTGGATCAAACAAATAGAACATTTGCATGTGATTCGTACATTTAACAAACGCAATGAACACTATGAAATACAACATATGAACGATTTTAACGAGCTGAAAAGCATTGACGTCAATGTTGATTCGATTATTTGATTTGGAATGCGTTTTTGCATCGTGAAAATGCTGAAAAATGAAATGCCTATAAGAAAGAAAATAAAATAAAATATTTATCAAATCGAAAGCTGTGTCGGTGTCTAGGCAACAAGTCTCGGTTTCAAGGAGAGTGTCTTAACAGTGATGCAAGTAAATCCATCACCGGAAGCGCACTTATGAGTTAACTACACTGTATTTAATATTTTAAAAAAATGGTCGATCGCATTCTCGCTGAAATAAGATTCAAATTGAAAATTCTTGATTCGGATTGAGAAAAAAAATGGACCAAAAGCGGAAAATAGAACGACAGAAGAAGGCACCAATTAATCAAATTGTTAAAAAAAAAACTGTGACATATTTCAAATTTGTATTTTCAATTCGAAATGCTGCAAATTGGTAAAATTTAATTTCCTTGAAAGATTTCAACCCATAGACGTGGTGATTCGATTTGAAAATACGTCAATTAATCGGTGAAGGTTTTTTGAATTGAATATTGTCATTGAATTTATTTATTTTCTTCTGCCTCTTCCGTTCTTCTCATTTTGTCGTCATTTTATTTGTCACTAAAGTGTAGTCGCAGCTCATGAAAATGTCATTTTGTCCGCAAATTTGATTACATTCAAACGATGGTTAAGATGGCACAAATCTCATGTCATTTATCATCATCAAATATGAAGGAAAATTGAAATTGCCTAAAGATTTCACATCATTTGGTAAATGCATTTCTTGAACGTGAATCGACATAATTAATTGTCAATTTTCTTTGAATTGGGCGGGCGCCGAATGTGTAAGGTGAAAATGCAAACAAATGAATGAAGTGAGAAATAAGTCTAAATCGTTCACACTAATCGATACAAATGTGTTGTTCAAACAACATGAATGTGACATCAACACAACCATCGAACAAACATGTATAAATCCATCTAATTATACATTCATTAGGCATAATGTGTTGTCGTTGAGTGTATGTATACCGTCGAAAAATAATCATTGTGCGCGCGTCTAATAGAGAGAATGTGGCATTTTAAGCCGTTAAATCGAATTATCGTTTTGTTCGATTCGGATGGTTCGGATTTTCCATTCAATTTCAGCTAAACGTTTCAATGCGAAGACAATTTATCAAGAATTTTACTCGAAATTCAGGTGTAAATTGATGCCATCATCATCATTAAAATTAATATTTGACCATGACACGTTCTAATTATGTTCTGAATGAAATTGAGGTGGTTTCGCAATTGAAATGAATAGAATACTCTTTGTTTTTCCCTTTCATTCTTGCTCTCTCTCTCTTTCTCTCTCTCTCTATCTCTTTCCGTTACAACACAAATTTTCATTGACGTATCAATGTCGAGATAAATTCTTATCAATTTAAAACGATACACACGCTGCCGTCAATTCTCATAATGTACTTCAAATTCAC